GCTCCCTTCCAGCCTCACGGCTCCCGCTGCCCCTTCTCTCCCGCCTGGTCGTTGGACGGCTGGCGGCGGCGGCGACTCGTACTCGCTTCCCCAGCACACGGGCCGCTCGGCCGGGAAAGAGGGGGGCCGGCGTCGGATGTTCGCGTTACGCCACGCCGGTGCTGTCGTTGAGGCCTGGGCTCGGCTTCCAGCGGAGCCAGCGAGCAGATCCGGAAGAGGAGGTGAGGAGACGGGCAGGTAGGTGCTGCTCCCGGCGAGCAGGCAGCTTGTTTTTCTGCCGCCCTCTCGGGTCGGTCGGCGGGGCCGGGTGGAAACCCGAAGAGAAAGGCATCAGGATGGCTGTTACTGCTGAAGGAGAGGGGCAGCCCTTTCCTCTTGCACGAAGGGAGAAGCAGCCTGCGGGAGACTCTGGGGGCTTTACCAAGGGGTCCTAAAAAACATAAAAAATGAATAAAATCCTCTTGCTCTACCCAGAAGCCAGGATCGGGGCTTGCGAGCGAGTCTCAGAAGTCAGCCTGGTGCTGTAGTTCAGTCCAACTCGGTCGAATTACCTTTAGTTATGTTTTCCTCGAACTAAGGAAGCAAGCTTGGTGTTTGCTCTCTCTCCCCCCTTCCGTTTCTGGCTGTATTTTATTTGTAACCCGCAAGAGATACCAGGAAACTCTCCCCATATTCCTCTTCCCCCTCCCTGCATTCTGTATGAACTCTAGAGTACTGAAATGTCCTTTGGCTTTTTGCCCTGTTTGAAATAGTTTTCTCTCATTTCTGTGCAGTTCAGCAGGGCAGCCGAGGTTGCCCATGACTTACAGCTTTTGTATCATCTTAGGGAACGTGGTATTTCTAACTAAATCTCTTTCCCTTGTATTTCACACGGTTTGGGGTTTTTTTGTTCTGCGATTATTGGGGCATTTTGTTCTATTATTTTTAAGTGGGTCTAAAAGGGAGTAGAAGAAAAAGACCTCTCCCACCTGATTCATTGTGCTGTAGCCACATGTCACTTTTGGTGATGTGTTACCTGGTATTTTCTTTCCTTCTAGGGACTTCTACTATGTTTTTCCAGACTTTAGAAATGTGCATTCTTGGCATTCCTAGGATAATAGTGTGACCTGGTTTAACTCTGCAAAAACCACCTAATACCTAATAAAAGCAGTTCTTTACTGGCTTTTAGGTACTGTACTCTAAAGCCTTTCCTACCAAATATGCATTATTTTATGGGCTGCAGATACTTGATTGGTGTACTTAGTATTATTATCTTGGTTTGTTTTAGCTACAGAAGCATATGTTCCTGTGACCTTAAAAATGCCATTCTCATGATACTTCTATAATTTAAATTAACTTAAATCCTTTGCTGTGTTTCTTCAGTACTGGTTCATTGATTTACAATGGCCTTAAAAAGGATTTTTCTAGCACTCTTTAGAGATGTTGACCTCCCTACATTTCTCTGTTATTTGTTACCTGTTTTCTTACAGATATATATGTTTATTTTAATTAACTAAAACCGTGGGTGTTTTGAATGAAGTTTCCCCTGCCTCAAATTAAAGTATATTCACTCAGTTAAACAAAAGTTCTGGCCAAAGATTTGTTGTGGATATAACCGTTGTAGAGTAATACAGTAGATAACACACACACATGCACACAAAACGTTTTCAGAGAGGTGGCTGCCTTGCATATTGTGGTACTTTAACAGGTTTATTATAGCATAAGGTTTTGTTGAACACTACCTTATGCTATATAGTGTTACATCTTATAATGCATTTTCAAGGTTTTAGGGTGCCACAAGATTGTTGCTTATACTCTTTTTAACAATAGAATCTAGTTTATTTTGATATAACAAATTGTTGTTTGAATTTACATGAACTATCTGATGAATTGTAAGTTTGAGTGACCATAAAATCAAAATTGTAAGGGATGGAAACTGATTTCCATCCACTATCTAGACTTCCCGTGGCTTAGGTGTTCATCCAAACTCATAGGCTATTGTTGATGATGATGATAATGATAATAATAATATTTATATGCCATGGTTCTTGCTCTCAAGTCACTGTTTTGGATAAAAAAGAAGCAAACCAGTATCTGATATTAGGCATAAGCCAATCATAGTCTCTTATAAACGGAATTATGTGGGTATATCAAAGAAAGCATTGGAGAAAATACAGTATTTGTGCTTTACACATACGTATTATAAATTGCACAATGCCATTTATATTTATTGTTGTGGGCCAGGGATTTGTAAGACATTATAGGCACCAGAATCTATGAAGCAGCTTATTTTGCTGTCTCGAATCTCACTGCTTTTTCTGACTTAAAAGACCAAAACTTTAATTAAATAAATAAATATATGGGAACCCGGCAGCTTCCAGCATCATCGTTATCTCCTCTGGAGTAAAATGGTGGATGGTAACAGCCAAGTGCTTTAATTGGAAGTATGCCTAGGGAAAAAATGGTACTGGGTGTACAGGGATTGTTCTGGAGTAGAATAATCTCTGTATGCCCTGGTAGAATGGTAAGGAGCACGCTCACCAATTTGACTTCTGGTAAAAGTACTTTATGGCCGACCATCCCATATAGGTTGCATGCATTTCAGATATATAGACAGACAGACAGATGATCTGTTCTTATTTTACCACTTCAAAGTGCCCAAAGTCTGCCAATACTTCGTTCTTGTGTTGAGTATTTAAGATTTTATAGTGTAATAAAATTATTCATTTTTATTTATTCAATTTGTATAGCCGCCCAACTCACATACATGACTCTAAGTGGCTCACAATTATAGAAATTATAGAAAACTAATCTTCTATGAGGTACAAAACTATTTTACTCAGGAACTATTACCTCTTGCTTCTAAAGCATTTGGGACGTATATTCCAGCTAGATCTTAAAGAATTACTTTAATATTTAGGTGAAGTTCCATCTAACCCAGTATTGTTAACATTGAAAGGTTCCCGGGATATCAGAAGGAAGGTTTTCCATGTCTGCCTGCAAATGCCGCTGTTTCAACCTTGGATTTTCTGCATGCAAAACATTTCTGTATATTGAACTACTTTGTGGAACTTTAACCATTTAATAAAAATAAATTAATTTCTTAAATAAAGCATTGACATGTTTATTGAGAGTTCTGACCCATTTTGCCTGTGGGACAAATGTGTTTACATTGGATTGAAATGTTGGCCTTCAATAAATGATCCTGCTTAGTATACTTGTTTATGCAGAGACAGAGAGAGACTTCAGCAGAAAAATATCTCTAAATACTCTATAATTCTGCGTTGCAAAAAAAAAAAATTCTAACTTTGGACAGTAAGGCTTTATTAATTTTACATCAATAGACTTTAATTGTTATAGCGACCAATTAGTACATATCCTTGTTCAGGAAATCTATGAATGTCAATATGGAACATCTTATTTAAATAATTAAGTTGGGTATTTTTCATCTTTATGAATTTAAATCAAAACTTTGTGTTTAGTAATATGAAATGAGCCAACCAAAATTTAAGTGCAGAGAAGTAAATGTCCACGCAGAGAAGTATTTAACTGTACATATGGTGTTGAAGAAACTGCTAATGAGAAAATTTTATGTTGACTAGATCCTCCAAAAGAATGTGAATTTAGGAAGGAGTTACTTCACTTAAATAAAACGTTTCTTTTTTCATGTCAAACTTCAAAAGGATTGCTGGTAATTATTAACATGAGTTAAAGTTGTTAAACTACAATTTTGTGCACGCTTCCTTGGGAGTATGCCCCATTTAACATGATTAGGCTTGTTGTTTTTAAATATCTTATCATGCCTCAATTTTGGAAGTTTCTACTATGATCAGTAAATACAAAAGTATACTAGTCATGTAATGAATACATAGAACCTTGTCTTCCTATTTACCTTGATGACTAACTTAGATGGTATCTCAAGGATTATTATTAGTCTTAACAATCTGCCCTATTAAACAGTCCAGTTAAGCTGCCTGCATAATAAATTGTAAAATCTGTATACAGTAATTTATTACAAAATCTGTTATATTTTTGAATTTGTATATGGCTGCCTATTTGGATTAACTGATCCAACTTTATGTATAGTGATTTTTTGTTTTGCCATTTAAATATGATACACTCTCTACTTTCTCAAATATATTTTATAAACAGTGAAAGATAGGCCACTGAAATTTAAAAAATACACATTGTCTCTACAACAAAATATAACCCAGGAGACTCACACCATGTTTAGAGTGTTGAATTCTCATAGGTAGATCTGGATTTAAATTACCATTAAGCTGGGAAGATCACTGGATTATTTTGGGCCAATCTGTTTCTTAGTGTAATCTAACTCATCACATTATTATGTACGGTGCCTTATTATTTTGGAGGGAGGAAGGATGTAAATGTAATAAATAAATCTCTGATTCCATTTTGCTTTGTAAAGAGATTTTATTTATTCAGTTTTGTATCACTTGACTCCAGCTGACTCTAGGCAGCTCACAGAACAAAGAACAACATACTGAAAAAACAATGAAATACAATGAATTAAACTAGAACAAATTGCAAAGTAGCTGCAAGATAATTACAAAGTAATTACAAGAAGGTAATCCAGATAACATCAAAAGATATAAAAGCATCAGAAACAGGAATCCCATCTACCCTACCCTGGGAGAACAGCCAAATTTTCAAGGTCTTTTGAGAATGCCATCAGGGTAAGAGCTGTATGGATCTCTGGGGGGACCTCATTCCAGGGAGCAGGTGCCGCTACAGAGAAGGTATGCTATCTGGGTCCTGAAAGATGTTACTCTTTAATCGAGGGGACCCAGAGCACACCCATTCTGCCAGATCATATTGGCCAGGCAGAAACCATGGGAGAAATCCCTGGACATAGGCAGTCCCAAAACCCACAGCCATTCAGTCTTAGCAGGATTGAGATGTTCTTTCTGGTGTTTTCTCAGGAAAAGCACAGAAATTTTTCTGGGTTTGGCAGGTTATGTTGAATAACCT